TGTGGAAAATATATTTATATAGTAAGTTTAAAAATAATATAAATTTTTTTTGGGGGCTTGGATTATGAAAACTTTTACAAGCCAACAAGTAATTAAACGCAAAATACTATTTCCTAAAACCTATTATGCTACTTCTACTTAAACATCATTAGCAAGACACAAAGTATTCTAGCGAATAAGTGTCACGACCGGAATTTCCCACCATCGGGAGTCGTGATGGCGCCTACTGTCGGAGCTAGGCAAGCCAAATATTCAAAACTTTTCACTGATGACATTTTAACAATATAAATAAACGGAGGCATTTTAATTAAAGCGGAAGACTTTAAACTTATATAACTGAAATAAAATTTGCGGAAGTTGAAACACATTTCTACCCAGAGTCTGGTGTCACTAGCTCACGGACTGCTATAGAGTACTAAAAACAAGTCTGAAATGATATTACATACTGTTCGTCTCGAAACAAAGAAAACAAACTAAAACATAGAAGGGACTTCGGCCTGCGAACGCCAGCTAGGCTACCTCGTGAGTCCCTGGACTGAAGACAGCTCCCGGGCAATCCTACTGCTGCTGTCCAAAAGCTGCTCCTGGATCTGTGCAAAAAGATGCACAGAGTGTAGCATCAGCACAACCGACCCCATGTGCTGGTAAGTGCCTGCCCTAACCCCGGCGAAGTGGTGACGAGGCTAGACAGGACCTACCAAAAACAACCTGTGCAGATGTATATATACAAAGGCAACGGAAATAACAGCAGAAAAACATCAAATAAAACTGGGAAGGGGCATGCTCGGGGGGATACAGTGAAAACAGATCAGCGGATATAACGACGAAACTACATCAATACTATGACTCATATAAGTGGTCGGCGTGCCACACGATCCCATAGTATATATTTATAAGTGGTCGGCGCGCCACACGATCCCATAGTATATATTTATAAGTGGTTGGCGCGCCACACGATCCCATTTCATAATTCATAAGTGGACGGCGTGCCACACGATCCCATTTCATAATTCATAAGTGGACGGCGTGCCACACGATCCCATTTCATAATTCATAATATATATAATCTTTCTAGAGGAGGCCCCAATAGGGGAATTCAATTAACATAACGATTTAACCCGGCAAGGGTACAACTAACAACCCAAATATCCCGGCAAGGGAGAATACATATAATGCTTAAATCCCGGCAAGGGAATAATCACAACACTTCCTCTTTTGATCACTTCTTTCTCAATTATCAATTTCCAGTTCGAGCCAACGCTCCAATAATATACCAATCACATTTCTTCCTCAACCATTCACATTATATGAAACTTATCAATTAAACAAGGAAGATGTATCACAAAAATCCGAGTCAAACACAATTAGGACTCACGGTCATGCTAGACTCCGGTGCATAGATAACCGTCACCATGCCTATACACCGTACTCCACATTTAGCAGATAGCAAATAACATCCTAGTCCTATTCCCTGAAGCCAAAGTTAGAACAAACACTTACCTCGGTCCGAGAATAGCAATCAACTCTTTAATACCGCCTTTCCTCTACAATCCGACTCCGAAACAATGGTATCTAGACATGATTAATTCAATAATATCAATAAAGGCTCAAAAACATAATCCCATAGCCTAGAAATGAATTTCCTAGCATTCTTCCAAAAATATCAAAATTCGACACCGGGCCCACATGGTCCAAACACGAGGCTCGGACCAAAACCCAATCACCCATAACCCCACGAGTTCAAATATGCAATTTGTTTTTAAGATTCGACCCCAAATTGAGGTTGAATCACCCAAAATTCTCAAAACCCTAACTCTACCCAAGACCCTTAATTTCTACTTTGATTTTCATGATTTAGATCTAGGAATTCAGTAATTAATGAAGAAGAGTGAAGGAATTAGGTGGGAAATTACTTACCCAAAGACTTTGGTGAAGAAGAGCTCCAACAATCGCCCCTAGAGCTTGAAGAAGACAAGTTTTATGAAAGAATGGGAATAATCCCGTAATGGTTCTGTTTTGAACTTTAAAAATCACTGGGCGAAAATGCCCTTCGCGTTCGCGGGAAAGGGGCCGCGTTCGCGAAGGGTAAGCTGGGTAGGCATCGCGATCGCGGGAAGGAACGCGAACGCGTAGAAGGCTAGAGGCTGGGGTCCTGGTTTTACTCTACGCGAACGCGTAGGTACATACGCGAACGCGATGAAGGGTGCGCTAAAACTATGCGAACGCGAGGACGAGTTCGCGAACGCAGTGAAGGAATTACTGGGGGTCCTGAAATTGACCTACGCGATCGCGATGATGGGGACGCGAACGCGAAGGAGACCAACCTGAAGCTATGCGAACGCGGGGGAACTAATGCGAACGCGGGGGAACTAATGCGAACGCGATGAAGAAAATCCCTGTGTAAAAATTGCAGAAAATCTGATATCATCCTAAGTCCAAAACCACCCCGAACACCTCCGAAAACACTCCCGAGCCCTCAGGGCTCTAACCAAACCCACACACTAACTCAACAACCTCATACGAACTTAACCAAGCAATCAAATCGCCATAACAACATCAAAATCAATGAATCAAACCCCAAAATCATCATTTTTCATTCTAACTTCATAAACTTCAAATTTTAGATATTTAGGTCCGAAACACGTCAAACGACATTCGTTTTCGGCCAAACTTTACAGAAAGCGCTTAACACATATTTAAGACTTGTTCCGGGCGTCGGAACCAAAATACGAGCCCGATACCTCAGTCTTTTAATCAATTTTCATTTCTATTTTCCTTAATAATTTCAGAAAAACAATTTCACAGAAAAATTCTTTTCTCGGGTTCTAGACCTTGGATTTCGACTCCGGGCACATGCCCGAGTCCCATATTATTCTACGGACCCTCCGGGACTGTCAAATTACGGGTCCGGGTCCGTTTACCAAAAATGTTGACCGAAGTCAACTTTAATCATATTAATATTAAAATTCTTCAATTTTTTCACAGAATTCACATGTTTCAACACAAAAGCTTTCCGGCTACGCGCCCGGACTGCGCACGCAAATCGAAGCAACTAAAAGTGAGGTTTTCAAGGCCTCGGAAGCTCGGAAAAAGAGAGAAAACCGTTAATGACCCTTTGGGTCGTCACAAATATCTTGATAAATATCTTCTGAACTTATCGAAAAGATTGCATATAGGATAAGGAGTTGAAGTCTCCTTATAAAAAGAGAATTACATCCGGATCAAGAATATGAATTAGGAGTTAGAGTTGTTCTTGGACTCGAATTGTCAAAGGATCCACAATTCGAGTTCTTATCAAACTCTGATTACTAACTCTATAAATATAACGATTGTTCTCTTTTACAGGTGATTGCACATAAGCTGAAGTTAAACCAAATTGAGAGCAAAAGAGCTAGGCGATTGTTTCAAGCAATTTGTGTGTGATACAAGTGTGCAAATCTGAAGCTACAAGAACTAAGTGTGAAGAACCAATTCCATTGTGTCTTTCTTTATTTCTAGTTCAATTGTAGTAGGTGTTTTAACATAGTACCTTTCCAGCTTTCTTAGAAGCAATTGTATTAGGTGTATTGAGTATTCAAGTTAGAGTTAACTTGAAAGTGTCGCAACAGTTGAAGCTGTGTGCTACACTGGGATTAGAGTTAATCCTTAGGTTTACAAAAAGTTTTGTAATGTTGTTTTTGGCTCATTGAAGTTTAGTGGAAGTTTGGAAAAATCCTACTGAGTAGTAGGTCGTGGTTTTTTCACCTTTTGAGCCAGGTGTTTTCCACGTAAAAATCTCTGTGTTCTTTATTTCTGTATTTTAATTCCGCAAACAGTAGAAGTTAGAACACCTAGAAGAACCAGGTTCTTCTAGTGTGAAAGTTAGGTACCACACAAATCACCCCCCTCTTGTGTGATATTGACGTCTAAAACATCAATGTTTATTTCTAGAAGGCTGAATGGCCTAAATGGCACCTGTACTTCACCCACTTTGTCATGCCGGTCCCCAAACTTACATATTTGCCAATTAAACACCTATACTCATTCAAAACGTGAATAATAAACGCTTATCCAATGAGGCTGCCAGTGCGTGTTTGACAATCGCCTACACGTAGGACGCCACGTCAATAAAATATATCCATGTAGGCTCCAAGTCACATCTGATGGCCAAATAGGATAAAAAATTATTTACCCCCCCCCCCCCCAACCCACATTTCCCCTCATTTTACAATTACCCCGCTAAATTAGGGCTTAGATAGTATCGAACAACAGTGAGTCGCTCCTCTCTTCTCCGTCGTTCTTGTCGGGATTTTCATCTGTACAGTTGTTATCAAAGTTTGTGGGGTAAGTTTCTTCATTTATTCTTCATATTTTGTCTTTATTGTTCTTCATTTCCTTCTATTTATGGGGATTTTGCTCTGTTTAGGGTTTTTTAGGGGGAGGTTGGGTTAGGTCGTAATTGCTGTTTAATATCCCTTAATATATAGGGCTTTTGTTGTATTTTGCTACATGTTAGAGTGAAAGGCCTTTTTAATGTAGTGTCATGCATGTAATGGCATATTTGGTTATTCTCTTTAGTGTTTTGGGTTTTTGTTTTCAAATCAGAATTTCATCCTAGTGTCTTGGGTTTTTGTTGGGTCTCGTTCATGTTAGCGGTCCACCACAGTATTTTCTGAATATTATAAGGCATTGTGGGGACGAAAAAGGAATCTTGGATGCTTTTTTACTTTAAAAATCTGTCTTTTTTGTTGGTTTGTTTATGGAGTTGTGTAAAGGTGCAACTTTTGATAACAAATAGTCATTGATAACACTGTTTTTTTTTTGTTTCTTTGCAGGTATGAAAAGAAAATGGCTTTAACCCTAGTTAACCTACAAATCCACCACAGTGGTAATTTTGTATCCGACCCTGACCTAAGGTATGCAAATGGATTAACCTGTCTATGGAAATTAGAATCAAGTGTATGGAGAGGATGAATAGCATGAGAGAGTTTTCTGAAAAATGGGTAGGTAAAATATCACCCATGGCTATGGAAATACTTGGAGAGAATGCTCAAAGGGCAGCCAAATGTGAAGTCAAATTTAATGGTGAAACAGGGTATGAGATCCAGGATGGGCCATATAAACATGTTGTTGACTTTAGGGCATATACCTGTACTTGTAGATCATGGCAACTCAAAGGAATTCCATGTGCACATGCAATTACAGCAATGCATTACAAGAACTATGAGGTTGAGCCATATGTTGACCATTGGTATAGAAAGGATACCTACCTTAAGGCATATAGCAGATTCATTCAACCTTTAACTAGTATGAATTTGTGGCCAACAAGCACACTGCCAGCTATTGAGCCACCTATTATAACTGCAATGCCGGGAAGGCCAAAGAAAAAAGGACAAAGGCTGCTGATGAACCAAAGAAGAAGTTTGAGAAGGGTACAAGGATAGGGAGACAAATGAGATGTTCTTTGTGCAAGACTGTAGGACATAACAAGAAAGGATGCCCATCAGCAGTAAGTATTAATGTTTGTTTTGTTACTAATATTGAAAGAATTCAATTACTAGTGATAGTTTTGTTATGTGTATGCACAAAAACCAAGAGGGAAGGGCTGGAACTAGTTCAGGTAGAGGTGAAACTGCAGCAGCTGGAAGTGCATCAACAATACCTGCAAGTGCATCAACAACACCAGCAATCCTTGATCCAAGCACACAACAATCAACTAATGTTGCAAGAGGTCCAAAAAGGAAGACCAATGAGCCTAGAAGAGGTGGTGCAAATGCAGGGTCTAAGAGAACAAAGACAGCAGGATATGGTGTGCTATTTGATTCAAGTGGCACTGTTATACAGAGGGTAAATATTTCAACTCAATTACACAATGGTTTACTACATAATCCCTCACTCACAACCTTTTATTTTTGTGCAGTCTGGAACTACTGACAGAGTGGTACACAATCCTTCTACACTCATAAGTTCTGCTCCTACCAACATTGAACTTAGGTTCAAACCACCTGGACTAAAGTGGAAGGGCCGACCAGCAGTTACACAAAGGCAGCTGCAAGAACAGAGTTACAGAAGGGCAAAGTCTGCTACAACCACTCAAGCCACACCAGTTACACAATCCACACCAAGCAGCCAAGCCACAACAGACATTAATTGAAGTGCTCAACTGATATTTACTATGTTTTTGTTGACTGTAGTAGACAATATTTTGTAAAGCTACTTCATTATGTATGTTTTTGTTGATTGCCTATCATTGACAATATTTTGTAAACCAACTCCCTTATTTTGGATGTTTTTGCCTAAACCCAGGCCATACTTGTTGCTGTAATGGAGCCTTTGTCAATATATTTCATGAACAAAATTTTACATCAACACAAAATATGTAGCCTAAACCCAGGAAATAACAAAGTGCACTATCAATCCTAAACAAATAACATAATAGCTAACATTAGAACAAGTACAACTACAATTATAATAGCAGCAACTCTCAACTTCGACTTTCCTTGACTTCTTTGACAATGGCATCGATCACTCTTCTTAATAAGAGCCGCAAGAAGAGTCTTGTAGTGTTCTTCCTCAATCGCAGGATCAACCCATCTGAAAAAGCCACAACCTTCACCAATCTCATATCTTCGGCAGCCTAGGAACCTCCTTCCAGGATTGGTGGGTGTTCGTGACATTTTAAGATCTGCAGCAACTCCACAATAACACAAAGGTTGCATCCTCATTGTTGAAGGAGAAGAGGCGGCATTAGCGTATTTGTTGCAGGAGAAGACAGAAAAAAATCCACTTTCAAAACAAAGGAGATTGCAAAATTGATGGCAAAGAAGATTCACATGAAATTAAAATTCTATTTTTGACAGTTGAAGCTAACAAAGAAAGAAGAAGGCATCAGATTTGCTAAATTTAGCTTCTACAATGTTCAACAATGGAGAATAAGGTACAAAGAAGAAGATGGATGTTAAATAGGCTAAACTATTACCGTTAGGGCTTTTTTTACTGTCTTCACGCCCCTTACAGGCGTGTGAATCACGCACTGTAGCCACATATGACACATAGGATAAGCCACGTTGGATAAGCGTTTATTATTCACGTTTTGAATGAGTATAAGTGTTTAATTGGCAAATATGTAAGTTTGGGGACCGGCATGACAAAGTGGGTGAAGTACAAGTGCCATTTAGGCTATTCTGCCTTTCTAGAATGTGGAAAACAAATAAATAAAATAGAAGGAAGATCAGGACTGCGAACGCCAATTTGCAGCTACCTTGAATCTCCCGAATGTGATGCTAGGCGGAGAAGATCTCATTCAGCCTCAGTGGGTGCACCTGAATCTGCACACAAGGTGCAGGGAGTATTGTGAGTACTTCCAACTCAGAAAGTAATAAATATAAATAAAGTCTGAGGATAAGAAATCCTAAATAAACACAAAGCAAAGCTATGAATACAACAACGTGAACCAATAGCATAATACAGTAAACATTGAAAACAATTATAATAAAATCACATCAGATTAAGAATAAATGCCAATTAAATATGCAATGCAACACATAAACCGGTACTCTCCAGTACCCCACTGCGGCGTGCAGCCCGCTCCATTTATTTAACGTCGACGGCGCTCACTGGGGGTGTGCAGACTCCGGGAGGGGCCCCTTACGGCCCAAGCGCAATAATAAGCCATCTCGTGGCATCAATCAAGCCCTTGGCCTCATATCAATATCATCATCATACCACTGCGGCGTGCAGTCCGATCCCAAGCTCAGTCCAAAATCACGTAAGCTTTTCGGCACAATAATATAAAAATATTCAGCCCAAACTTCATTTAAAAATATTACTTTAGTTTCTACTTTTAGAAAAATGGCTGAGTTTACAAAACAGTGTTAAATACCAGGACTGAGTTCAATATCTAGAAATATGGTAAGAAACCAGTAAAAATAATCCCTGAAGGATTCAAGTAGTTGGCACGAAGCCCAATTATGACAATTAATCCATTTTTATAAGGATATCACAAAACTACAATCAATTAGGTAGTAATTTTATTAAGCGGGACGGACCAAGTCACAATCCCCGACGGTGCTCTACCCCACGCCCGTTATCCGGCGTGCAAGTCACCTCACATAGCACTACGTTGTGCAAATTTGGGGTTTCAAACCCTCAACACAACATTTACATTTATTACTAACCTCAAGCTGGCCAAAGTCCTAGCTTGCTACGCCCTTGCCTTTCGAATTAACCTCCTCGTGCGTCGAATCTGACCAAAACCACAACGAATATGTCACAATATGCTAATGGGACAATACCCAATCGAAAACAATAGAAAAAATAGTTAAATTCCCAAAATTAGCAAATACCCGAACCCGGGCTCACTTCTCGAAAATCAGTAAATTTACCATCAACGGATTCCTTATTTCGCCACGAGTCTATACATATAAAGAACACCAAAATCGGAGTTCAAATGACCCCTCAAATTCCCATTTTTGTTCTCTTAGGTTTCAAGCCCTAACCTCCATTTTTGACCTTTAATTCCTTGATTTTTCAGTCTAATTTCATGTATTTGCATCATAAAATCGTGTTCTAAGTCCAAGAATTCTTACCTGATCGAAGTCCTTGATTTCCTCTTCAAAATCGCCCAAAAATTCTCCAAGTCCGAAGTGAAAAATATGAACTCTTTCAAAAATTCGCGAAGGAAATAAAAACCCCTTCTGATCAGTTGTTTCCGTATCTGCGGTCCAGTTGTCGCTTCTGCGACTTCCGCTCCTGCGGCCATCTTCCGCTTCTGCGGAAATTCCCAAAGTCCCCACTGTCCGCTTCTGCGACCTCATCCCCGCATCTGCGGCTTCGCAGATGCGGATTCCCATCCGCATCTACGGTTCTTCCTTTCCAAGACCATTTCCGCACCTGCGACCTTTTCCTCCGCAGATGCGGAAATACCAGATACCAGATGTGATCTGCAATCTCCAACTTCAATTTTCATCCCGTTAGCCATCCGAAATCACCCCGAGGCCCCCGGGACCTCAACCAAAAACACAAACATGATCCAATGCCTTATTCAAACTTGCTCCAATCATCAAAACACCTCAAACAACACTAAAGCCATCATTTCTCATCGAATTCAAGCCTAAGTTCTTCCAAAACTTCCGAAACACGCATTCGATCAAAACCCTACCAAAACACCTCCGAATCAACTGAAATTTTGCACACACATCCCAAATCACCTAACGAAGCTACTGCAACTCTCGGAATTCCATTCCGACCCTCGGATCAAATCCTCTCCTATCAACCGGAATTCGCCAAAATTCTAACTTCGCCAATTCAAGCCTAATTCTACACCGGACCTCCAAAATTACTTCTGATCACACTCCTAAGTCACAAATCACTCCCCTAAGCTAACCAAACCACCGGAAATTACATCCGAGCCTTCTAACTCATAAGTTAACATCCGGTTGACTTTTCCAATCCAAACCTTCCTTAAAGAGACTAAGTGTCTCATTTTCTACCAAAACCAATCCAAATCAACTCTAACACAACAATACTGATAATGAAACATGAAGAAGCATAAAATGGGGGAAACGGGGCGGTAACTCATGAGACGACGGGTCGGGTCGTCACACTTTGTGCTCTCATACTCTTGTTCTATATTCTGATTCCTGGCCGGCTGAAAGCCAAGGCCCGAGATTCTGGGTTCTTGCTACCGTGGACTTTGTTCTTTCTTGTTTTTCGCTTAACTGGTGAGTTGCTGAACTTTTATCACTCTATTCCTATCTGCATGACACTCGCATATGTTTCATTTCTGGAGATTGTAGTTTAAGGTGTTTTCTGGCCTGTTCTTGTATGCAATTCTGATTGCTTTACTTCAATTTTAGGTTTCTCTAATCTTTAACTTCATTATGTTGGTAATCTGAGACATGCCTGAACTTGATTTGAATCGATTAATTTCTTTTCAAGTTCATCTAGCCTATATGTTGCAATTTGCTAATGTTAAGGACCTTTGTACTTTAGCCTCTCTGTAGTGTTTAATTTTGCTATCTATCTTGTTACCTGGGCATGCTTTCATATCCCTTTTAATAGATTAGTCATTAGCTATGTAACACAAGTCTACTTCCTGACCTATTCTGAACTTGCTATGGTAATATCCTGCATAGGTAGCATGTTTGATCCTGTATGCTTCTAGTATGTCTTGACTTTCCAGTAGTTGCACTAATCTGTTCTCACTCTGTCTAAATTCGGTTGTCAGTCAATGTGATTCTTTCTTGTAACACTAGCACTTACTTAACATAATCTGAATCTTTTCTTTATTATGAGTATGTGTATACCAATCCTGCAAACTTGTTTTATTAATGTGTGATTACTCTAGGTATTGAACTTGTTCTTCTGAATCTCTACTACGTTTTTTTCTAGAAAACCTAAAGCATGTTTGATTATTTGCTCTATGTGCTCAACTTGTACTCTTCAGTTCTGTCCCTCAGCTGTTGTCAGTCTCCCTCATTATCACTTATATTATTCTGAACCCTTTATTCTTAGCCGGCTGAAAGCCAAGGCTTTCAAGGCTCTTGCTACTGACCTCCCTAGTGTGAGCAATGCTCGGAGTCCAATTGAGACTCTTGTGAACTCTGACACACTAGGACTTGGTCCTCAGTCTATCCCTGAATCTCCTCTGTTGACCTCCCTAGTGTGAGCAGTGCCCTGGGTTCTTGAAGCCATTGAGAACTCTGACGCACTAGGGCCCAAGGTTCCTTGCCATATTTGTCTTAATTGCTCAGTTCTGTCCCATTTCATTTGCTGAATATGCCAATGGGCTTGTGTTCATGGTTGTATTTCAGATGGCTACTGGGTTTTGGCTATGAAAACTGTCTTCTAGGCTATTGTGAACTATGTGAAGGCTTGGCCTGGCCGGGCGTACTTTGGGCCAGTCTTAGGCCCACTATAGTAATGTTATAACTTTGTAATTTATTTCATTCATTGGGCATGTAATAATGATGTAATAACAATTGGGGTATTAGTAAAATTGGAAAACTGGGCTCACTACAACAAATGTGATTTTTAACCACGAAATTATTAGCTACGACGAAAAATTCGTCACTAATTGTTTATTTTCTATGACAAAAGTTACATTTCGTATACAAATACATGAGCCACATAGTTTTAGTGACGAAACGTGAATTTTGTAGCAAAGTTTTGTCTACAAAAGTTTCCCTCCAAAAATATGGTGGCGCCAATTTCTTAGGCAATCTTTAGCTACGAAGTAAAATTATTAGTGACGAATTATATTTGTCACTGATCCACTAAATTATTAGTGACAAAAAATTATTCGTCTTGAAAAATAGTTACATTTAGACACAAAAAATTTTCGTCACCAAAAATAGATGATTAAATAACGACAAATGAATTTGTAGTGAAATAAAGTGAACTTTGGCTACGAATTTTTTTACTTAACTGTGACCATTATTTTTGTCACTAATAATCTAAAAATTCTGTGACAATCTTTAAAATATCTTTATGTAATATGAAATTTAGCTACGACAAGGTTTTGTCTTAAAATAATACAATGTTTAAAAAGGCTACGAAATAAATTCGTCATAAATTATTCAATTTTCAGTGACAAATCACAATTCATATTTAAAAATGCACGAGTCACATGTAGTTCAGTAATTAAGTACTCCCTCCGATCCAAAATAAGTGATTTTTTGACTTTTTTCTTGTGGTCCAAAATAAGTGATTTATTCAGATTTCAAGAATGAATTAATTATTTTTTTCCTACATTGTCCTTGGAGTATATAGTTTTGGAATATGTGTTAGGAGTGTTTATGTGAGATAGTAAAGGTTAATATGGTCAATTCTATTGCTAATTAATGCTAAAAGGTGGATTTCTTAATCTTTGTGAAAACATCCAAAAAATCACTTATTTTGGACCGGAGGGAGTATATTTTTGTAGGGACAATAAATATATCATGGATATTCAAATTTTCTCCATACGTGCTCGTTAGGTTTGTATATTTCTTTTATTTTTTCCTTAAATATAATTTATCATTTAAATTAGATTTGAATAAATTTATTACTATTAAATATTTATAAAATTATGATAAATAAATATATCAGCAGCATTCTATGTTAGATATAATTATAATTGCCATCAATAATTTATATGCTAGATATTACAATTGATTTTCTGAATTGTCAATGAGCTAATATTTTAATTCTGATAATTTAGTATCTTAGTAAAAATAAAAGTAAAAATATAGAGAAAGAACAAAAACAGTTAATTCCAGATGATCTAATTATTTTAGCAAAAAAAAAAAAAAAAAAATAGAGAATTTTTTTTTGTGAAAAAAATATTTTTCGATCCTTGGTATATATAATAGTATGTCCATTACCCTTTAGTCAATCAGTACTTTTACTAAATTTATGTACCAAATTTTAAATACACATTCTAATTAACATAATGATTGTGTATAAATTATTTCAATATTCATAATTATTGTAGTATTACTCAATATCAAATTCTAAAGATACTTTCAAATTAATAATTAATAGTTGCATGTCAAATAACGTAGTTTAATAATATTTATATAATTTTTTAAAATTGTATATACATTAATGGGGTACATGCACATAGCGCGTACCTAAAACTAGTATCTATATTTGTAGTTATACTATAGTAAAAGCACTATAGTATGCCACTGTCAACAAAAAAACTATTCACACGTCAATGTATGCCACTTGTGGAGAGAATTATTGCAAGAATAAAGTGATAGACCACCAAATTTTTATCATATAGTGGCAGATTGCAGTTAATCAAGAATGTATTGTTCGAAATGCAAACGTATTGGGCATAGGTTTTCTTACTACCAAAGAAGATACTACACATGGTTACTATTGTGTGTAGGACATTCTTATGGACGGAAAGCAATGAACCATCAAAAAGAGCCCTAGTATCATGGAAAAAATTGTGTATGCTAGGTTCAACTGGTGGACTAGGTATTCTGGACTTCTATGGAACAAGGCTGCTTTGTGCAAGCTCCTATGGGGCCCATCAATGCAAAAAGGAAATCTTATGGGTAAAATGGATTCACAACTTTTATATAAAGAGGAGGAATGCCACATTGCCAACTCCAAACAAGCTTGCTGGATTATTCGAAAGGTATTTGATACAAGAGAATGGTTTGGGGTTGTGAATACTTCTCGAGATGTCAATGAGTACTGTAAACAAGAAAAATTTAGCATCAAGAAAGTGTACATAGCTGCAAGGCCTCAATTCCAGAAAACTCCATAGAAGAGACTCGTGCTGGGAGATGACACTATACCAAGACATCGATTCATTCTGTGGTTAACTCTCAATCAAAGACTGACAACAGTTGATCGATTGGCAAAATAGAAGATAGATGTGCCAAAGGACTGTGTACTATGTACCAGTCAAAAGGAAGAAACGCTTGATCATCTCTTCTTTGAGTGTGAATATGCAAAATCGATATGGGCTATACTATTAAACTGGTTGGGGGAAAGACACTCAATTGAAAGCTGGGAAAAGGAACTACAGTGGCTAACTAAGAGAACTAATAACGGTAGACCAAGAGCTCAAGTTATGGTATTTTTATTTGCAGCAACAATCTACTACACATGGCTGGAAAGGAACAAGAGAAGGTTTAAAAAACAGTATACTCCACTACATATGCAAGGAGAATACGAGAGATTGTACTGCAAATGCATATCAAAGGCCAAAAAGGAGTAAATGGAAGACCTTGTTAGAACGGTTAAATAGATTTCCTTCTTGAGACAATGTAGAGAGTATTAGTCTGTTAGGAAAAGATATGGAATCGTAGTACAGTAATAGTAGTATTGTAAAGGGTCTATCTCTAGAGTCCCATGGGCTAGCGGATATACATATTTTCATTAGTTAAATATAAAAATTTTGTTTTGACCAAAAAAAAAACACCAAGCTTTTTTAGCAAAATATTTTTTTTTTACTTTTTTACCCTTTATAAATAGATTTCATATTGGACAAAATTGTAATTTAATTTTATTTAGAACTTTGAAACAACTTAAATCTTTCCTTATTTGAATCATGTAGAAATTCTACTATTCAGAACTTTCAAATTAATTAAAATTTTACCTTATATTAAATTTTTTCTTATTTGAAATACGTAGGACTCCTAATATTAGAATTTTATAATCGAATAAGAATTCCTAATGGTAAGTCATACCTCTCAAACACATGACTTATTTTAATAATTTGATATGAGATACCTTGGTAAATTGTGATACGTGATCATTGACAAATTGTGATTCCAAATTATTACGCAATACTAAATACCCAATTAAAGAATTGATTAACTCTAATAATAAGTCGTGGTAAACTTATTCAAGTAATTTTCTGTTTAATATTATCTATTTAAAATTTATTATTTATCAGCAATATTAATTATCCTTGATTATGAATGCAATTTAATTTGCAATTTTCTCCTTCAAAGTTTTTTTATGTAACTTGAGAAATTAACTAATTAGCAAAAGAATACAATTCGGTTTTTCAAATTTATCATATAATTAAAATTACTTAATATTTAAAACTTGGGATGAGATAATATTAAGAATTTGAATCAACAAAAATAATGTTGAGAACAAATAATTAAGTCTTTGAAATAACTTATTAGGTAAAAAATTCAATTGGATTCTTTTTCAAATTCATCGCATAAATAGAATTATTTTTTAACTTAACGTACTCTTAATATAATATTACGACACAGATTGATAATGGTGCTAATATGAAGCAATATTGATGAAATAGTAGGATATAAAATGTATCCTAAATCAGTTTTCTTTTTACTTCTTTTTGCATTCGTTTAAATTAATTCAACATGAGTCATTTTAGAACTTTGTGTTGTTACTTATCATTTTCATTTCCAATTTTAAAAGACCAAAAAATCACTTTATCAATTTGAAGTAAATTAGTTTTATTTCTCAAATAGTGAAAAAAAAGAAGGTTAAATGACAATATTGGACACATCATCCCCAACTTTACTTCACACACTAGGGAGTAATTAGGTAATTCGATTAAAATTTTCAGATCCCCGCTTATTTACCCACGTTCAGAAGTTATGAATATCAATTAGTGCTCAATTCCCGCGCCTCTAACTCAGGAAATCTTTCAGCAGAGCAACTGAGCAAGTTGCGGACGCCCCCTCTTCATCATCTTCTCTACAGGGCAAGTCGCCACAATCGGAACAACAAAGGTTTGTTCTTCGTCATACATTCCCCTTTCCTTTTTCATGATGCTTGGTTTTGTTTGGGTACAAACAGATTTTCATATACTAATTTCTTATATTAATCTGGTTCTAAATCCTGAAACAATTCTGTTTTGTTTCCAATTTGTCAGCGAACAGATGGATTATGGTTTTGATTATACGTTTGAACAATTGAATAGTCCCGAGGTCTGAGGCTGAGAACCTTTTAACTTATTAGAAAAAGTTTATAGGGGTTTCACTTCATTTACATACAATTTCATCCAGAAAATTCCTATTTCTTAATTTTGAAGTATCGTTGAATCTCTTATATCTTATCGTTTGCACAGGTCAAGATGGTGGCTAACGGATAGGTCTTAGATTTGTCTAGCTGAAGTAAATTTCCAAATCTTGTTTACTTTGATGATATAATTTCTATAGATGAGATGTATAGTTTTTGTGTGTTCTATAGTTTTTGTGTGTTCTAGGACCTCCACACTGGGAGGCTGAAGGGTATTTGTAGGAAGACCGATGGGCTCTATCTATTGACTCCTATAACTTTTGGTAGAGGATAAAATAAAGTTTTTAGTCTCTGAATGTAAAAATAGATCAAGATACATTGCAGCTTTACAACAAAAAGATGATACATCCATCAAAAAGTTATGAAATAAATATTATATATTAGTGAATAAGTATATAGTATTGTAGTGAATAATTATGATATTTGTGCTTTGAGTAAGCAAGCAAAATTATCTTTTCCTATTAGCAGTATTAGAGCAAACAATGTCTTTAACTTGATTCACATGAATGTATGGGGACCATTTAGAGTGGCAACATATGATGGAAATATATACTTTTGATCAGTCTACAATGACTTTGATTTATTTATTAAAATTTAAATCTGATGTGATTGTTGTGAATAAATTTTTTTGTTAATGCCACATACTTAGTTACGAGTAAGGATAAGGTGGTTAGGAATTACAATGGCTGAGTTCCTTAATTCAGAGTGTGTTGCTTTGTTCAATAGTCTTGGTATAATACATCAACGATCCTGTCCTTACACAACCCTTCAGCCTCCCAGTGTGGAATATCTTTAACAAGAAAAATTCTAAAGGATTTTCTAGAACTAGATCATGCTCTCTGTTATAGTACATTTGTTGAAGATAGTTAATGTCAATTTGGAATCTGCTTTTCAACAATTGAGTTTCCAGCAACCAAGTATGACTACAATTTTCTGACATTTCTTAGCTAGATGGAATGATGGCTTGTTCAGTAGTTAGTAGGACTTTGGATATCCAAATTTAGGCTATGATTTTGAGTCACAATGTGGAGAAAGTCATCTTTTTAATATGACTTGCAATTTAGATATGGTCTTATATATCTATCTGGAGAGCGAAGTTGTGAAATCCGTTGTTAATGCTGTGCGTAGGAACAAGCAAATGGAGAACATTAAGCTATAATCCTAAATCTAAATCTGGGGATAGATAACTTGAGGTGGACTTGCTGTTGCATCTAGCATGTTGGGTAACTCCTTTTCCCTTTTCAATATTCGCTTATACTCTTTCCTCTATTACAATACTCTTGTCTTTGGCAGTTCTTTCTCTAGCTTCTCCTTCTATGTGACTCAATTGATCCTTCTGTCGGTTTTATTAGAATTTCTCACCTATACTACTGTTAATCATACGTACTCTGTTTGGAAAAAAATTTAAGTGATCTTTTGCTTGTTGGTTTGGCTGATGAAGTTAGAGTGCGAATAATGTAGAACATTAAAATGACATGGTAGTTAGTTGGAACATCATTCCATAATCTCAACTGTGAAGGAGATATTCTATGCAGATGGTTCCATAGATCAACAAGGTCTAGAAAGTTTATCCTTGGGTTGCAGGCCATATTTCTAATACTAGAGTAGGCTTCAAGTTATAGCTTTGTTAAATTCAGAGGTGGTGTGGTCTTACTGCTAGTCTAGCCATTGCAAGTCTTTCCATTCCAAGATAAAGAGGGTGCTTGGAGGATTTTATATAATGAAATCAAGATAGTTAGGATTTTACAAGTTTGTTAAAAAAAAACTTTCAACTAGTATGACAGGTTATTGGCTATTCAAAGATTGCAAATTAGCTCCTCACTACATATTATGTAAGTGTCTAGTAGCTTATGATCAACTCTAGTTTTGTTATATTCTGTGATAAACCCTTTTCATTCTTCTGTAGTGGAAATAAGTTGAAGAGGATTTAGAAAAGATATCCACAGTTTTAAGTTCTCATCTTACAACGGTCTTGACTCTCAAATTTATAAAGGTATGAGGTCAGGCTGGTCAATTTACCAGTCAACTTCAACGTCCACATTAGATTTCTGGAAATATCTTTATTCATTTTCTTGCACTGCTAGTTTTCTGTAACTAATGCTTCTTTAGAAACGGTTCATCTACGGTTACTGTCTTGCATTCGTGCTTTACATTGCACAGACTTCTGAAACTTTTGCAGCGAAACTACCGCTTTTTCTTCTTGTTTGTCTTCTCTACAACACTTCTTTGCATATATGTTTTTGGTTTCTGCTGGATCTACATTAAGAGAATCATGGTTCTAGAAGACACAACCATAAGGAAAGCAATGATCAAAACACCTGCCTCCATTGTTCTGGTAGTCAGGGGCGGATTTAGGGGGGCGCAAGGGTGTTCACCCGAACACCCTTCGCCGAAAAATTACACTGTATATATAAGGCAAAATCTGTGTTTTACCTCTATATATTAAGTTTTGAACACCCTTAACACAATTCAAAAGTGTGGTTTAGTGGTCAAGGGTGTTCAAAATTTACATAAGGTCATGGGTTCAATTCTCGTTAGCTACAAAAAATTTTTTGAACCCCCTTCGTGGAGATCCTGCCTCCGCCACGGCTGGTAGTATACACTTTTATATCAGTGTGGTTTGTTGGAGGTCTTACTGCTTTTCATCTATACCTCATAAGTACTAATCAGGTATGATCATCTATACCTTTGTAGAATCCATAGAATTAGAATCCAAGATCATTATGCTTCCCTTTGTTTAGCTAAGGTGGTTTGGATTTTGATGTGTACTGTGGGTGACATCTATTTTCTGGCTACTGCAGGCTACTTATGAGAATTTTAGATACCGGTATGATTGGCGTGTCTCTTTGTTTAAACTCCCAGATTCCCGCTTTGTTCTACCTCTGATTTATGCCTTCATGGGCAGCTCAAAAAAAATAGCCAGTGATTCACCTACATTGTAAGTCAATTATTTCAATATTCGTAGAAGTATATGCTTTTCTGTGAAAAGATAGACTAATGGAATTTATGTCTTCAATACAACTAAACTCTTTTTTCATTTTATTCATTCATCTTTTTTTATTTTTTAAAAAGTTCATATCATGTTGATATTCAATTTTATTTTATTGTTTCAGGTCATATGCTATGATGTTCAAAAATTTGACATGTGGAAGACTTCACTATGATAAAGAGTTAGAGAAATTGTTATGCGTCGTGTATCGTGTAGTATCGTAGTAGCTATTACCAGTTGTTGGACACAAAGTGACACTAATAACTATTAGATTAGAATGGTTTAATTTTTTGGTTGTTGATACATTTAATGAAATGTACTAGTATTATTTTTGTATGTAAATAGGCATAACTGCTTTAGAAATGTTGGGATAGTCCCTTATTCATTTTTATAGGCAATAAAAAAGTTGTTAAATATAATATTTGTCGTAGACCAGCCTTATCAATAATATATTTCATTATTTGAATACGAATTAATATTGTATTTTATGACAATGGTAAGTGTCACTAATTATGACACTTTATGGTGACAATTTTATTTTGTCGGTAAACGTAATATTATTAGCGACGACATGATAGCTTTCAACTACAAAATTGCAAATCATTTTTGTAAAAGCAAAGTCGTCGCTAATTTATTCATTTAGGGACGAAATATTTTTTTGTATAAAAAAAATGTTGTCTTTAGTGACGAAATCACGTTTTTTAAGCTATAAAATACATGTAACTTTAGAGACAATTGACATTGTCATTAATTGAACTAAATAATTAGTGACAAGGTATTTTCGTCGTTATTAATAATTTTTTTTAGTGACGAAAACACATTATCACCTACAAATTTTCAATACTTTTTCTGACAAATAATTTCGTCCTAAATACTATGCATTTGGGGACGAGAAAAGAGTTTCGTAGTTAATCTATCTTTATTTAGCGACGAAATACTAAGTTGTCTTTGTATACTTTTAGTGATCCACTTTTAAGGACGAATAATTGATAATTTTTTTCGTCACAAAAGGTCTTTTGTGACGAAATAAGGATTTTAAGTGACGAAATAATTTGTAACCGATAACCAAATTTGTTGTAGTGGCTTATTTTAATATTGCACGAAACGGGTAGAAATCCTTCCTAGAGGTGTTTAACTTGTTTAATATATCCTGCTTCCACCTGCTTGTTAGAAATCATGCCTATAGGAAATAAAATGGTCGATCCTCTAATTGCAGCATGTTCACATGCTTATAGGATTACGTTGATTTACAAATACCTGTTCTTCGCAATGTTCACGTAGATATCATGCCTATAAGAGCATAATTAGATGCCATTTCTGTTATTCTCACCCGCCTAGAAAGCATGCCTATAAGGATAAAATGTTATAAAATTAAGTCTAATTGTCAATTGCTAGAAATCCTGCCTATAGGGTGTTCCATTGACGTTGCTAACCTTAGGTCTTCAAACAACTGCATAATCACACAATGACTAGATAGCTAATACGTCAAAATCACAACGTTACCTTTATAATGCTAGAATTCGGAATCACTTAGCAATCATGTCTATCGGATCAATAACTTATAACCTGTAGTCTCAATGATGAGCATGTAATATCAGATTCCCTAAGTTGTGCACCTGTTCAGAAGATTACATTTTACATTTGAAACTGCTGCATGTTTGAAATCCAAAGTCACATAGAAATCATGTCTATAGGTCTTAACGGTTTGAATCCGTCACAATTCTGAAATTGTCAAATGTGTTTGCGTGTATTCGTTGTCAAAGTGTGGAGGCTAACTTGAGCCCTTAATTGCTTTTATATAAAGTCCAACTTATTTTGCTGTCGATTAGTTTTATCATTTTGAGCAGCCTAAGTGAAGTCTAGAACTACCTAAATAGAGGTCCAAAGCCCTGGATCATAGGCCTCGGACGGGTAGTGCACGCATAACGTACGATTTAGAATCAACTAGTGCGCTTTAAGTAACAACTTAAAGATAGTAATCGGGTAGCAGGAAATGATAGTCTGTGCCCGCTGAATAATATGAGTAACACCCCATCTTGAGGGAGTTACGAAGTATTATTTATGTTGCACGGGTGATCCTTTAGGCTAAAAAATTTAGGACCCCCCATCTTGTCTTTAAATCAATTATTTGTATTTAATAACGAACATCCCAAATTCCTTGTTTTCCTGTCTTTGATCACATAAACTAATTCATATAATTCAGTTCGACCGGGACCCACAGTTGTGGACCTCGAAGAGTGCCTTACACCTTCTCTCCGAGGTAATTTTGAGCCCTTACCCGATCTTTGGTGACGCAAACTAGTCAAACAGAGTTATCTGCAAAATAGGTGCCCTAACGCACCTCAATCTCATTAGGCGGCGACTCTCTCTTTTAACACCCATCCTTAAAAGAGTTTTCATGTGTCGAAGCCCGCTTTTGCAAGAAAAAAAGGGCGCGACACCCCTTTGCTAGCAACTCCTCAAGCTGTTCTTTCAACTCCTTCAACTCTTTCGGATCCATGCGGTACGGTGGAATAGAGATAGACTGGGTACTTGGAGCCAATTCAATACAGAAATCGATATCATGATCTGGTGGCATGCTTGGTAATTCAAAAGGAAATACATCGGTGAACTCCCGCACCAGAGGAACTGAATCAATTGTCGTAGTCTTTGCAGCAGTATCCCAAACATAAGCTTAATAATCCAAACAACCCTTCTCGACCATATGTCGAGCCTTTAGGAAAGAGATAACCCGACTAGATGCACTGATAGATGAACCCTTCCACTCCAATCTAGGCAACTCTGATATCACCAAGGTAACAGTATTAGCGTGGAAATCAAGGACGGCATGGTACGGAGACACCCAGTCCATGCCCAGGATGACCTCAAAGGCGGTCATGTCGAGCAATAGAAGATCTACTCTGGTCTTGTAACCATAGAAAGTCACAATACAGGACCGGTAAATCCAATCCACAACAACAGAATCACCCACTAGCGTTGACACATTTACAGGAGTACCCAAAGACTAGCGAGGAACACCTAGAAAATTAGCAAACAGAGATGAAACATATGACTATGTAGACCCTGGATCAAATAGTACCGAAGCACCCCTACCGCAGACAGAAATAATTCCTGTTATCACGGCATCTGAGGCTACTGCATCTGGCCTGGCTGGAAAGGCATAAAACCTAGCTGGTGCACCATTTGGCTGGCCTCCACCTCTAGGGCGGCCCCTACCCACCTGCCCTTTACCTCTGGGCGGCCGGACGGCTGGTGCGGCAGCTAGCACGGAAATCATAGGCTAATGACCATGTTGTACTGCCTTGCCTAGAAGCCTGAGGCAGAACCTCCTCATGTGACCAAGATCCCCGCACTCAAAGAAACCTCTGGGTGCGGAAGATGAGTGGCCCTGAGTCTTACTCTGGGAAGCCGAACACCCACGGGAAGAACCCTAAATAGCCATGAACGGTAGGAGCTCTCTGGAATGGCGCTGAAATAGGGCCGCACTGGAGCACCCCGAGAAGGCAGCGATGCTGGATATGTGGGCGTGCTAGACTAGACCCTCACAAACTGACCTCTGTCCCCAGACGGAGCACCACTGAACCCTCTGGAATATCGAGACCGCTTGCCCCTTAGCGCTTTCTCTCAATCCTGCTGACGAATACCCTCGATCCTCCGAGCTATCTCCACAACCTGCTTATAAGGAGTCCCCATCTCAATCTCTGTGGCCATAGTGACCTGGATACCATACTGCAAGCGTGCAATAAATCTCCGCACTCTATCTGCATCAGTGGGGAGTATCATAAGTGTCGCGCCCCTTTTTCTCGTGAAATCGGGTTTCGACACGTTACAACTCTTTTAAAATGAAGGTATTAAAAGAGAGAGTCGCCACCTAACAGGTTTGAGGTGCGTTAGGGCGCCTGTTTGCAAGTAACTCAGGTTTAACTAGTTTGCGTCGCCAAAGATCAGGTAAGGGCTCAAATTACCTCGAGGAGAAGGTGTTAGGCATTCCTCGAGGTCCACAAGTGTGGGTCCCGGCCGAGCTCGAATTATATGAATTAGTCCAAAACAAGAAGGAAAGACAAGAAGTTGGGAAATTATTATCAAAATCTACCAATGAACAGACAATTGATTTTAAGACAAGATGGGAGGGGGTCCTAAGTTTTTTAGCCTAAAGGATCACCCTGTGCAACATAAATAATACTTCGTAACTCTCTCGAGATGGGTTGTTACTCGTATTATTCAGCGGGCACAGACTATCATCTCCTGCTATCCGATTACTATATTTAAGTTGTTACCTAAGGCGCACTAATTGATTCTAAGCCGTACCTTATGCGTGCACTGCCCGTCGCATACCTATGGTCCATGAGGCATTTGGACCTCTATTTGGATGGTTCTAGACTTAACTTAGGTTGCTCAAAATGAGAAAACTAGGCGACATACAAAATAAGTTGGACTTCATATAAAAGTAATTAAGGGCTCACGTTAGCCTCCACACTTAGACAAGAAACGCACGCAAACGCCGTTACACGTTTGACAGTTTCAGAATTAATACGAGATGGGATCCTTGAATCCTATAGGCATGACTTCTATGTGATTCTGAATTTTAAGCATGCAAGCAATTTCAGATGCAAGGAGCTATTTTAGAGGCATGCTTTTCGAATAACTATACAATTTAGGGAACCTGATATTATACGCTGATTATTACAGATTATAAGTGTTTAAACCTATAGACATGATATCTAGGTGCAGTAGTTGGCAGTGGTAACCATGGGAGATATTCAAAATTGTTCAGTTTGATCCTATAGGCATGCTTTCTAATAGTGGCAACGAAACAATGTTTGAAAGTTCAATATTAGCACTTAAAAGCGAGTGATAATGTCCAATAGGCAGGATATCTAACGATTAGTAATTGAAACAAGTCGGTCCCGGGCCTATGTGGGCCTAAGTGGGCCCAACGGTTAATTTCAATTTTTTTTAAAAAAATTGTTATCTAAGGCAATTCCTTGTAAAAATTATATTATAGAATTATGAATTCGAATTTAAACACAAAAATATTGTAAAGAGATATTCAAAGCAATGTGTTATAATTTTATTATAGCTTTAACAAAACATGGCAATATCTTTCTTAGTCTTCCTCTCCCATGGAATGAGCACAACAAGGTGCTAACCATTGAGAAGAAAAAGAAACTAATCAAGATGTGGAAAAATACAAGTTACATATTAATTTTACATGGTATCTCTTACAAATTTCAGAACTCCTTCAAGGTTCGGAGGAATTTCCGTTGGTGGTGGCGGAAAAGAAGCTTGTTCATCACCGCTTCCGGGCGAAGCTGCATCCTCCGCAAGTTCAACTAGCATTTCTTCGTAAGCTTTGTCTACCTCTGGTTGTGATTCAGCAAGTCCAAAATTTCTTCGTTACGGACGGATCCAAT